CCATATGATTCACCAATTTATCCATTTAACTTGTACATACATTTCAGTGAATTATTTAGTATATTCAGAGTTGTGCAACCTTCATCGCAATCTAATTTTAGAACATTTTCGTCACCCCCAGAAGAAACCCAGTCCCCATTACCAGTCACTCCCTCTATCCCTGACCTTCCCTCCTAGTCCTAAACAATCACTCGTCTACTTTCTGTCTCTATACATTTGCCTGTTCCGGGTGTTTCATGTAAGTGAAACCATATAAGCAATCTTTTGAGACAGGCACCTTTCACTTGAGACATGGCCCCTTTAAAGGCTCATCCATTTATACTGTTATGTTATGCAGCAGTACTTTATTCCTTTTTAAGACCAAATAATATTCCAGTATATGGATCACATTTTATTTACCCATTCATCAGTTGGTAGACATTTGAGTTTTTTCCATTTAGGGGCTAGTATAAATAATGCTGCTATGAACATTTGTGTGCAAGTTTTTGTGTAGACATGTTTTCATTTCTCTTGGATTAATGACTATGAACCTGCACTGGTTCTTGCACATGAGACTTAGATTCTCTCTCTGGGTTTGAAGAATAGCAGAATGGACCTCACCAAACATAATGATTCCTCTTTTTAATTTTGAAAGTTGAAAGATTCTGCAATAATGGAATTGGTTAGAAACTAGCAGTAAAATGGAAAAGAAAAAAAAAGGGAAGAAAACTATTCTTGAAGAGAAGGGAAAAAAGCAAAGACTTCCCAACTTGCTGACCTTGTAGACAAGCACACTTGTTTGCCAGCCTACTTCTTCCTCTCTCCACTTCTTGCACATATCAGTATTTCATCGTATAATTAACAACTATGAAGTTACCTAGAGGAAAATTATGAATGTGGATTCCAAGACCAAAGTGAGAACAGGTTACACTAGCGTCCATGATTATGCGACTATGTCAGTCACTTTAGATTCCTGAGAAAGGGCTGGACCTGCCTGAATGGGCAGGAATGAAGTTTTATTTGTTCCCTGATTGTCATCATCATGACAGCACATTATCTAATTATCTCCCACTAGCCAAAGCTTCAGATTTCCTCGTACAGAATAGGGAATATGAGGAAGTCTATAATAGTTTAAAACAAGGAAATTTCAACTTAGTTTTATAGATGTATAAAAACAAGTGAAGACTGAAGTAATGATTGGCCACTTTAAAGCACCGAATAATATGTTCACTAGAATATATACACCTTGGATTCTGCTATATTTAATTACTGTCATTTTAATATCAGCTACTAATATGAAAATCATTTTAAGCTGTTGACACTATTCTAGGGGGAATCTAAAAACCTTCTTAGATTAAGTGCAACTGAAGATTACAGTTACAGAAATGGGAAAAGCAAAATGGTTAGCTTCTTGAAAGTGAGGGATAATTCTAACACTGCATACCATACATGCCATTTTCAAGATTCCCTTGATGCTACCTCTGCTGGGCCTGAAAGCACAGCCAGTGCTGCCTCTGCCCAGCAGATTCACCATCGCTCTCAACATCGGTCAGTACAAAACTGTGATTGGTTTCAAGTGCACCTGCCGTAGGAAAAACATAAAGCAAAGTTTAATGTAGTATAGACTTAAAAGTGAATGTACAGAAATGCAATCTGCCATTCATAGTAAGACCCTCACTCAATTTCTATGTCTAATTAGAGTCCTTTAGTGAACCAGAACCTTTTACACAAGTTATTAGGGCAGAAGGAATCCTCTCTGTTGATATTACAATGGAGAATAATTATTCTTTGTTTTATAAATTTCACTAGGTGATCTCCAACAGCATCTCCAAGCAATGTTCATATTACTCCGCCCAGAAGACAACATCAGGCTGGTAAGTTAGTGATATTATAACTCTCTTCCTCGAAAGACATTATTAAACAGTTATTTCTTTATGTCCCAACACACTGCTGAGAACTATGTGGAATAGAAAAGAAGAATGGCATGTCCCCATCATCAAAGAACTTAGAATGTATTTGGGGATGTGGCTAATCTGAAGTGATATGAAATAATTTGATGGTTCAAGACTTGATGAGTGCCAGTTTGTAGGTTATTGACCATAATACCAACTCAAATTCAGAAAAAAAGAAAACTTGGAGACTTGACCCTGTTGAGGAAGAGCTCGAGCAGGGTCTTGAAAGATGCTGAGATTTAGATTGGCAGATAGAAAGAAGACGGTCATTCTAGATGAGGGCATGACTGACGCAAAAGCACACATAAGAAGAACAAGGAGGGAGTAAAGTGGCCAAGGATTATGCTGGTCTCAGAGTCAGGAGACGTGGGCTTAGAGACAGTCATGTGATGTTGGACAAGTTCCTTAGCCTGTCTTTGCCTGCCTACCTATCTCTTTTCTACCTCTCACAGTTGAGAGAATCAAATGGACATTAAAGCATATTGAAGAATGTAAAATGCTGCCTAAATGTGGGAATTATTGTTACTGTAGGGAAGGTAAAATACAAGGAAACAAGGCAGACAAATAGGGACTTAATGCTCCAAACTAGAGATCTCACACTAGCGGCCCATAGGCCAGAGATGTTTTGTTTAGACTACACAGTGGTGGTGGTGGTGGTGGTTTTAAATCTGAGCCAGAATTTTAAAGTTGGGTGATTTCACATAAAAATCCTGACTTGAGGCTCTTCTTCAAAAACCAAAAATTCTGGGAGTACCTTATTCTTACAGAGCAAAACTTGGCTAGACTTGGTGGAGAGAGGGCATTGGCGTGGCCTGGGTTCCTAATTTACTGTAATCCCTATGTATCCTGTTGTCTCCTGCATGCTAAAGCCAAATGTCACCATCTGTCATCACTACTTCACTATTTTATAGTAGAAAATCTCATAAAAGTAGGAAGACGAAAGTGAGATGAGTATGTTTCTTTGTGAAAAGTGAGAAGTATTTCTACCAATTTAGTGGTCACACGGCTACTTCACTCATTGACATTCCCTATCTGACCCTTTAGGATTTGAGATGGTACCTCTGCCTCTTCAGTAACCAGTAGTGAAGCATTTCAGGTTTTTGAGCTAACGAATTACATTTTAGAAAATATTTAAGAAAGATTCCTCAGAAGCTAACACAGAATAGAGGGGAAGAGGCAGCACTCTTAAATCAGGAAGCCTGCTGGGTAGTTATTGCCTTAATTCAGGTGTGTGATGATGGGCCCTACTGGGCTAAGGTGATTAACTTGGAAACTGTCCTTAATGTATCTGTGGAAATCCAAATAGTTGATCTCTACTTTCTGTTCAGGAAGAGAATGAGTAGGATACAAGAATGACTGTGGAAAGTTGGTGATCAGGCCTCTGAACTGTGTGGTAATTACTGATTCATCATTCATTTAATCCTTCTCTCTGTTTAAATTCTCTCATTTTTTTTCTCTTGAATGCTGCCTCTGTGGCCTTCCTGACATGGCCACTAATTTTTGTTGAAAAACTCATTATGAAATTTAAAGGAATTGAAATAAGATACCCTTCCATAGTTCTTTTATACCCTAGTCCTAAAGTAGCATACACTTATATAAATCTTGTCTGTATTTCTTAGTATACTTCTATCTTAAACACTTCTTTGTAAGTGAAAAAAGTGGGATGCTGTTCTTACAGCATTAATATTCTAAAGCAGTGATGTTCAAACTTTACAGTATGTCAGAATCACCTGCAGATCTTTGTTAAACTGCCACTTGCTGGACTCTAACTGAAGGGTTTGATTTGGAGAGGGTGAGGCAGTGATAATTTACATTTTTAGCAAGTTTCCAAGTGATGCTGATGCTGCTGGTCCAGGAGTCACACTTTGAGAACAGCGCCTCTCAAAACCCATAGTAATGGTCACTTGCACATTCTAGATGTCCAGTAGAAATAGTTCCCCCAAAACTGTGTGGTTTGGTAGAGCTAAAGCTAAGGTCTGTCACTCACTTTATCTTTTTCTTGTTGATAAACGTCCAGAGTTTGGATTGGACCTCTAAATGTTCAAGTAATATTAACCACAAGAGACTTAGGAGAACATAAAGGAGCAGTTAGGAAGGCAGAATTGGCAGTTAAATTTTTTCTTTCCTGCTAAAACATGCAGCTTCAGCTGCTTTACATTTATAAAATATAAATTCAAAAAAGTAACTGATGCCTTTGAATTAATTCAGAGTTCAAGTGACAAGCCATTTTACAGTTGTTTTGAATTGTTACAAACACATAGTCATTATGTTTCAGATTATTGAGTGAGTCATCTTCAAGAAAATGAGTGAATACATTGTGTGACTTTGAACAAATTAGCACTTTTCTAACTGAAAGGAGCATTTGTAAACTCAAAGCAAAGCCTTTTGTTTTGAGTTAAATTTGGAATGCTGAAACTCTTATCCTGGGGATTGTGCATAAGGTTAAAAGTTTGATAGTCAACTGAAAGCCCTGTCTTTATTTTTTTTAATAGCCCAACAACAAATAGAGGCACTAAATCCCACATTTTGCTTTAGCATTGAAAATAGGACTAAACGAATTTTTCCTCCAGGGAAGCTCTGCATTGCAAAAACAGTCTTGAGCATTAACTTTAGTTCTTAGGAAAACCATGGCTGATAAAATGAGGACAGTGGTTTTACAGCACTCTTGCACATTATCAAAGGCCCATTTAATTTAAAAAAAAAAAAGACTGGGAAATTAAGAACTTTCCTAAAACTTAATGTAACTTCAACTAATGTTCTTAACTGGGTGAGGTGCTGGTAAGGTACTAAGAGATGTTTTTGAGTAATTTGCAGGAGAGTGTAAGAAAATGAGGAGTTCTTTGGTTTTGTTATAGTACATTGGTTGTTTGGTTTTTTTTTTCCAAAAAGAAAGTGGGTTTATTTTTTTTTTGAAATAGTACAGAAAGGCATAAAGAATAAAGTAAAACTTACTCTGTATCCTATACTCCAGAAAAACCATTCTTACTATTTGGATAAGTATCCTTCTAGTCTTGTGTGTGTGTTTAAGAATACGTGTCCAATTCTCTGAGATCTGCTCTTACCAAAGTGGATCAGTGATGAAAATAGCCAAATCTGAGCATAAAACCTTGCCTTCTACCTAATGCATGGTATCTGTAGTTCTGAGAAGCAAAAGCATAATTTAAAACAGTAAGGGCTCCTGTGTAGGGTGTGTGCTTGTAAAGGTGTCAGTGGATCACTGAAGACTTGTCAGTGGTTGAATGAGATTGGGGGTGGGGGGACGGGGTTGTATGTGTATGAAAGGCTAGTCAATTCTGAGCAATGTTGAAAAGGTTTTACCACTGACCTTTATAACTATGAAGGTCTCGACACCAGATCTGAGCCCAGAAAGGAGAGGAGAAAAAAAAGTCTGTCATGTAAGAGTGTCTTTTTCTTCTTTTTTTCTTTTTCCTTTTTTAACAAAAATAAGATAAAAAATATAAATGTTGTTTTATAAGCTGCTTCTGTCATACTTTATTGTATGTATCCTTCTGTATCAGTAAATGAATCTGTTTTTAATGGCTACACAGATATAAGCCATAGGGTTTTTTTATTTTTTAAGAATTTCGTAGAGATTAAAAATGGTAATAAAATCCAGAGACTCCCTCAAGCTCTGTTTCTTTTGAAGACAGTGTTCTTTAGGTTATTAATGTCACATCTGAAGTCCATTTTAATTTTAGATAATGACTTTGCTTTGTTCTTTTGGCTAGAATTTAATATTTACATTCTTTTGAAACCTTTCTCTCTGATGGGCTGGGTGAGCTGCCTGTCTAGACGTTGGACCTTTATAATGTGACTTCCCTGAGCATAAACATTGCGTGCAGGGGCCTGATGTGAGACTCTTGGTGGAAAGAAATTAAAGACAAAGGTGCAGTGTAGACTTAAGAAGGAGTATTTCCTGATGTTGGATGATGCCGAGGAGAGAAGTTATTATATCAGACAGTGTTTGTGAACCACTCATAATGAGATTTAAGCATTTAAGTACAGAAAGTTTTAACATCATTCTTTGATAGGTGAGTTTTGCAAACAGGTTGGGTTTTTCTCTTTCAGAAGTAAAGCTGAGGCAGGAGATGACTTCTCAGGCCTACGTCAGTCCTAGGATTGCTGGGTCCAGTTCACCTGAAACTTGTGTTAGGATTCCAAAGTTAGCAATCGATGGGGTTTCTTGGACTAATTTTCTCAGTTCCTAGTGCTGCCAAGTTTTAAAACCCAAAATATTATTTTATTTGGACAATTAAAATAAACTTCAGTAGTGTCCTTTTCAGTGAGAACTTCAGTTAATCAAATTCATCTGAATCATTGTCTTAGTCCAGTCATCTCTTCCATGTAAGTTCTGCAAACTGAGGAAACAGAAATTGCTGCCAATTCTGATATTAAGGTATTATGAACAAGCTACCATTTTAAATTATATTTCTCTGATTGGCTTAATGAATTAAATTCAATTGTTAGCTTTTGTTCATCTTCTCCCCAACAAATGAGTAAAATAAACCTCAAATCAGCGTGAGTTGTAAATTTTTCTTTATGCTGTGGCTCTTACATTTTTATTTAGTTCCCTAATCTAGAATCTTGACAGAATTTTGAAGCCTCAGGTCCATCCCCTGGCATTGCAAAAATTTTTCTGTAAAAAAGAATATCATCTTGTCCTTAGGACATAGGTGTTAAATTAATATCTTGGCTCCTGACCCCCTGATTAAAGCTCAACTTCCCTTAAGTAAAAATTTAGTCATAACTATAGATACTATTTAGAGGTCCACGATCAAATCCAAGACCTCTAAAGTGCTATTCTCCATCTAAAAAGCTTAAAATTGAATGAATCTGAGATGTGCCAGTTACTCAAGCCTAAGTCAGTGTGAGATGACTGGGGCCTTTCCTATTAGGTTTTAGATCTTCTGTTATGATTAAATTAAGCAAGGGAGGGCCAGATGTTTAAAATGCTCTTTATATGATAAGAGAGAGAGACAGACAGACAGACAGACACATCTCATCTCTCTTTTAAAAGAGAGACAACTAATGTTTGCACTGAATATCACAAAGAAACTCTTGCTGCCCACCTGTGCTCACCTGCTAATTAGGCCTGATACCTTGCCTGATAGGTAATATTTATGGAGGGACTTGTTTTGTTTTATCAGCTTCAGCTTAGCCAGTCAGTCACCACTCGTTGATGTAGAAATTGTAGACAAATGATCAGAAGCACAGTTTGGTGGTTCCCATGCCATTTGTATGTGAGTCTTGCCAGACAAGCTTTGACAGAGGAGAAAATATCCTCTAACATATGTATTCAGGAAATTGACCAGTTAGCTCAGAGCTTGCCAAAGCAAGCCCAAGTTTAGTTAGGCAGTAGTATCTAAGATCTTGTTTATGAGAAATTCTAGTTTACCTGCACCAGGTTTCTGGTTAGTTTGGTATTTTGTGGAGTATTTCTGGAATCATAGAGTCAGGTCTGTCATGTGCATTTACTGTTATCCATAGCTCTACGTGTATAATGCTTGGTCCCAGCCCACTAGGGCTAGGCCTTCGTCTATTTAAATATTAGTTCTTCGTAGCTTCTCACAAGTGAATTTGGTTTGAAATGCTCTATCACTTCATGGAATGTAGGAGTAAGCAGCCCAGCTTGTGTACTTGGCATCAGAATGGTGGGCATTACAGTCTTGTTGTATCAGCCCTTATTATAAACAGGCTTTAATGTAGTCACTTCTGCCATTTGTGCTTCCATGTAGCTTTTCCTAGGAGTATCAGAATAGAGACAAAACAAGATAGCCATGGGAGTCTCATCTCTGCCTCGCTAAATGGGTCATTTGAGCTCTGTAACTGTCTTTTTTTCTTCTGTCTGACTGCTTTTGGAACAGTCACAGAGTTAAGGGAAAGGAGACTCTAAGAAGAACCGCACTGAAAGAATTCCAAATAGAAATTTCTGTCAAATTTGTGGCAGGTGTCTTGAGCCAATTGATGGGATTAGAGCTCATTCTCTTCTGAGATAAGGAATGTGGGGGTGTGGGAGTATTTTATACAGAGGCAATTGCCTCCAGTGCACATTTTCCTGGCTTTTTATTGACAAAAAAGAAGAGTAGTCTAGACTGTACACTCCATGAGGGCAGGAATCAGCTGTCTCTCCAATCGTTGAATCTGATCATTGAATCCCCATTGCTGCTCTGATCATATACACTGTAGATACATAGTAAATATTGGAATGAATGTTGACTAGAAGCCATTTTACTTTACTTTTAAGGTTTATGAAGTATCTTTTTGAGCTTCTTATTAAAAAAATTCCCAAACATATAAAGTAGAAAATATATCTGCATGAACTCATTACCCAACTTCAATAACCATCAACATTTTGTCAGACTTCTTTCATTTGTTCCCTACCCCTGCTTTTCTTCCTTTGTTGGAATATTTTTAAGTTCAGTTTATTGAGGTACGATTGATATACAAAAAATTGTACATATCTAATGTCTACAACTTGGTGAGTTTGGAGATAAGTGTATACCTGTGAAACCATTGCCATAAACATTCATCACCTATAATTGTTTCCTTCAACCCTAACTTCTCCTTCCTCCTCCTCTCATTATTATTATTAGAACAATTAACAGAAGATCTACCCTCTTAGCAAATTTTTAATGGATTTTATTTTTTAGAGCAGTTATAGGTTCACAGCAAAACTGAGCAGAAGGTAGAGAAATTTCCCATATATATCCTCTATCCCCACTCATGCAGAGCCTCCCCCATTATCACCATCTCCCACCAGAGTTGAACATTTGTTACAGTTGATTCTGACACATCATTATTCTCAAAGTCCATAGTTCACATTAGGGCTCACTCTTGGGTGTTGTACATTTTGTGGGTATGAGGTATAATGACATGAATCCACCACTCTAGTATCATACAGAGTATTTTACTGCCTTAAAAATCTTTGGTGCTCCCCTAACCCCTGGTAACTACTGATCTTTTTACTGGCTACATAGTTTTGCCTTTTCCAGGATGTCATAAAGTTGAAATACAGTATCTAGCCTCTCCATATTGGCTTCTTTCACTTAGTAATATGTATTAAAGACTTCTCCATGTCTTTTTATGGCTTGATAGCCCATTTCTTTTTAGCACCAAATATCATTCCGTTATCTGGATGTCCTGCAGTTTATCCATTCATCTACTGAAGGACATCTTGGTTGCTTCCCATTGTTGAAATATTTTAAAGTAAAACTTGGGCACCATGTCATCTCATATCAGATACTTAGGAAAAAGGCATAACCACTGTACTGTTATTACACTAACAGTAAATCCTTAATGTCATCTAAGACCATGTCCATAGTCGAATTTTCTGAAGGCCCTTTTAAAATATCATGAATAAGCAACAAATGAAAACTTTTTGACAAAAATAATATGTTTCTTATATTTGAAACTAAAGAAGAAAATCTTGTAGTGTATAATCTGTAAAAATTCAATAGGGCATGCTCCTCTTAAACATTAAAATTTGCTTCATATTATAATTGTCTGTGGGACTTGGATCTGTGGGTCCAATGCTTACATTCATATACCTCACGTTCTACTCTTTGATCTTTAGAACAGGTCCTGAAATTATTATTATAAATTATGTCGATGGCAAACATTTATTGGGCATTTAGTATATACCAAACACTGTACTTGGAAAGCATTATTTCTTATGATTCTTACAGCCCAATGGAATAGGTATTATTATATCTCTCTCCAGTTAATTCAGTAACTTACTGAAGGTTTTACATTTACTGAAAGTTAATACATGAGTTGGGGTTTGAATTTAGATCTCATACTGGCTCTGTTGTCTCTCTCAGTATGCTTTAAGATGCTGATGTAAAAAGAGTTTGAGTGATCTAAAGTTGACCTTCTAAACTTCTTAATTTCTTACTATCTTTGTCCAGGCTGTAAGACTAGAAAGTACTTACCAGAATCGAACACGCTATATGGTAGTGGTTTCAACCAATGGGAGACAAGACACTGAAGAAAGCATCGTCCTGGGAATGGATTTCTCCTCTAATGACAGGTATGGTACCACAAAAGGGAGACTGAGAAAACCGCTTTTTAAATAATATATTTCAGCTACCTTTTGAGTTATCACAGAAATGTCTAGTTCCACTCTGAAAGTTCAATGCATAAAAATGGAGAACATCAGAGGTATCTTAGCCACACAGTCTTGAGAAACAAAAATATTTAATGAATGTTTTTGGTTGTGTGTTCCTAATTTACCACAATTCCTTACCTTCTTCCTCTCATCTTTAGGTGGTAATCATAAAATGCAAATGGTTTAAACTTACATCTCCAGGGGGAAAAAGAAGCTACCTTTTCTTTGCAGTCCACTTTATTTTAAGCAATAATGATT